CAGGGCCCCTCTCAGTAGGCTAGTGCCACTTATTTGAACCTTTTATGTCTCTATTGAGTAGGTAGCCTACAGTAGCTCATGAAAAAATTCGACTTTGCCGGACACCAGTTCTCATACCGATCACAAACCTGAACCTTATGTGAACAAGTTCCTATAGAAAACCCTTCAGAAGAACGGCAGGATTTTAAGCTTGCCTCAATCGACATACAGTATATACAAGACCCGGAGGGGGGACCTCATTTTGTAGTCCCCACACATCTCATGAGGCACTGAGACACGTGCTCTCATGCTGTCTCCGGCTAGGTCAATGCCTTCCCAACGAGAAATGAAGCTACTCCAATACGAGGTAAGGATGAGAGGAAGAAATTTGACTATTGAGAAAATTTTTGCAGCGTATACCCCACGCGCTTGCATTGAGAAATTAGTTGGCATTTATTATATCCCAAAATGACCAAGTGTGGTTCCTACCTAGGTAAGATGATTCATTTGTACAACATTATAAGTTCGTAAATTATGTAGTCTACTACAGAGGGTTATACGGCTGACTCACCCCCTTCGCAACCAGCTGTCACGGGGCACGGACCAGCTTCTGGGTCAAGATCGCAGTCCCTGCATCTGATTGGTGAGAGTTCGAAGGCAGATTACCCGGATCTTTCCTTGCACTCATCGAAATCGTTACAAGGCGAGGGCCTGACGAACACGGCCGCGACCGGCTATTTACCGTTGATACCTCAGGTATCAATCACTGGCACCAGCTTCCAACTCCTTCCGCCGGGCTAGACCCTGTTCAGAACTGGAGCTGAGTTTCTTTCTTTCCAGAATTCAATTCTTGTCCGTGAACAACAATCAACAATCAACAATCATCCATCCGTCTTATCTTAACAGTACGGGGTTCTCCTGAAGTTTCACAAGGCGAAACCCTTCCCCCTGGGGACCCTCTGCACTCCTGAACAAGATTTACTCAAATCATATTTATAGGAGACGAGCGATCACCTCCTTAACCTCCTGTGCCGCCTTTCTCCCTATTTCCCGACTGGGGGCGACGTCACTCTATCCACTACGGCACTGACCCGATCGCACGCCGCGCCCTTCTTAGCCCGGCCACTAAGGCAACGTGAACCTTTCTCTCTCTCTGCATCTCATCCCCTCCCACACCCACACCCACCCCCCATCTCCCCCCCCCAAACGAAAATCCGCCGCTACTGCTTAGTCTTTAAAATAAATATGTCCCTGTTGTAGCCCAGGCTCAGGGCTCCTTCCCTTTTTCTTCGAGATTTCTCTTTCTCATCTGTCCCATCGGTGATGGCGATATCCCCATCCACCCGCATCTTGGCCGCCCGGCCTCTCGTCCTTGGTCTTGCCAAGCTGTTGACTCTCGCCTGTGTGAACCTGCCTCTCATCTCCGCCGCTCCTACCTATGTCATTCATTCCGAAGTCGATCCCAAACCTCCAAGCGACCCTAGTCTATGGCTCTATCTCGGAGTTGCCGCTGCTCTGGTCTTGAGCGGTGGTGCATTTGCTGGTCTGACGATAGCTTTAATGGGCCAGGTAATTTTTTCCCCCTCCTTCGTGTCGACCTTGACCTCATTCATCGCATTGCGAGCACTTTCGGGAGGCTAATTTCTGGGGAATGCACACCCGCGGGGACTCTAGGATGAAGTTTATCTACAAGTTATTCAAACCTCTGGTGAAGAGGGCGAACGCAAAAATGCAGCAAGCGTGCTGAGACTGTTGCAGCGGGGAAAGCACTGGGTGCTGGTGACTCTCCTTCTCAGCAACGTGATCACCAACGAAACTCTTCCAATTGTGCTCGATCGGTCACTGGGAGGTGGCTGGCCAGCAGTGCTCGGCAGTACAGTCTTGATTGGTACGGGAAAATCCCTCTTCCTTGGCGCAAGAGGTCCTTGCTTATCGTCCGCCTGATGTGTTTTAGTGATCTTTGGCGAAATCGTGCCTCAATCCATTTGCGTCCGGTACGGGTTGCCTATCGGCGCATGGATGGCCCCCTGCGTCTTGGCGCTTATGTACATCATGTCTCCCGTGGCCTACCCTGTTGCCAAATTGCTCGACAAGCTGCTTGGAGAAGACCACGGAACCATTTACAAGAAAGCAGGCCTAAAAACCCTGGTTACGCTGCATAAGACCCTGGGTGAAGCTGGGGAGCAGCTGAACTCGGATGAGGTCACGATCATCAGCGCTGTCTTGGACCTTAAGGACAAGTCCGTTGGCAGCATCATGACTCCCATGGAAGATGTCTTTACCATGTCCGCGGACACTATACTTGATGAAGAAACAATGGATCTTATCCTGTCTCAGGGATACTCCCGTATCCCCATTCATGCGCCCGACAATGACATGAATTTCGTCGGCATGCTGTTGGTCAAGATGCTCATCACTTATGATCCTGAAGATTGCAAACGGGTCCGGGATTTCGCCCTAGCTACTCTTCCGGAGACGCGCCCGGAGACGAGCTGTCTGGACATTGTCAACTTTTTCCAAGAGGGCAAGTCTCACATGGTTCTCGTATCGGAATATCCGGGCGAAGATCGCGGCGCCTTGGGCGTGGTCACCTTGGAAGATGTGATCGAGGAATTGATCGGAGAGTATGTACTTCATCTACACCAGAGTAGGAGCATGGCTAATTCTATCATAGGGAGATCATCGATGAATCCGATGTTTTTGTCGACGTTCACAAGGCGATCCGTCGAATGGCTCCGGCTCCCAAGTCTCGAGTCCCTAAAGGCCGGATTGTGGAAGACCCCCCGATGCTACCTGTCGAATCAGGTGGGCCGCTGATCGACATCGAAGGTGAATCCACCGCGGAACCCCCGACCAACGGTGCCTCGAAGGAAAACCGGCGAAGCTCTGTCGAAGCGCCCTTGCCTCGTTTCCAGTTTCGTCGTCCCCAACCAGACAGGAATTCCGACTCCACTGATGGCTTGGTGACTCAACGAGGTGCGACGGACGAAATTCGCGAGCACTTGAAGCATCTCGGCCCTTCAAATCTTGCTAGCCGGCCTCGCCAGACTAGATATCAGAGTGTGAAGATCAAGCGGAGTGCCTCTCCCTCGCGGTCTGGCCATACTGATCTAGAGTCTCGCCAGAGCGCGGACGGCTTGATTAGAAGCACTACTTCTGGCTTGCAGGGCGGCCTCGGTGCCGGATTAGTGCAAAGCGGAATGGATGCGCGAGACGGTGTATATGCCGTTCGGGCAGGCTACGGCACGTTAGGTCATGGTCGCTCCCTATCCGATACGGCGCGGATGACCGACGGACCGGCACTCTCCATACCGGAAGCTGTCCATGAGGAACAGGACGATAACACTCGCCCCAGCACTCGTGCACAGCAGGACAACAGCCCTGCGCATAGCTTCCAGTCGACCGACTCCGAACTCTCTGATCGTCTCCGGCCCGGCAGCTACCGACACAAGGGCCCCGCCCGCAGTGGTAGCATTACGGAGCAGGTGGTTGACGTCAACGGCATCCGCAAAGTAGTCCTCCATACCACTAGCACTGCCACCAGCTCCTCCGAGTCTGATACACCCAATGCTACCGCCCAGACCCAGTTCCCTGTTCAGCAGAATGGGGAGATTGTCAATCTCGGAAATGGCGATGGCAGCGGATCGAAGAAAAAACGTCGTCGCAAGCGCCGTGGGCATGGCTCCAAAAGCGGTGATTTGCACGCGGAGGATGCACCTCTTCTTGCGCCAGAATAACCCGCACTGTATGTGCTTGACGTGGACTCTGCTGGACAGAGCAATGGGTGATGCAGTATATTCATTCGACTGGCTTCATTTTGATTTTTTGTAAGAATGCTCGGAAAGCAGTATAGATAGCACTCCTTTTTTCCAAGGAGGAAGTATACGTATTGAGGGAAATATTCGCAATTTGTGAGATAGGGATTCGAGGTCGATGAAAACGGAAAATATGATTTAGAGAAGTCGGGTTGACTACTGTAAGAGTGAATCGAAGTTACAATATTGCTTTGTTCGTGAGTCTCATACTATAATCATACGTGGAGCGACTGTAGATACAGCTCTTAGCCATGTTGTTCCAAACTATACGTACATTGGTGTACTGCTTCTTGGGTAGGCTCTGTCTCCTTCTCACAGGCTGTGAAAATGACATGGTGTATTCTAAAGCACAAAAATATCAACCAGCATCATTGGTCTAGTGGTAGAATTCATCGTTGCCATCGATGAGGCCCGTGTTCGATTCACGGATGATGCAATGTGAAATTTCTTTTGTCTTTTTTTTCTCTCTTGGATGCTTTCTATCTATCCGTCCAATCTACGTCATCGGCACGGAATACACACTTTTGTAATTAAGAGATTAGATTGTCTCATAGAGCCGTTGACCTCACTTCAATCTGAATGTGCATCCCGTTCTATCTACCTGGATATAGTCGTATCGTCGGCATCATGATCTCACAGGATTTCACTTACTTCCGTGTGCACGCAGACTCACTCCTGATAGAGTATAGATTGGCTACGTATATGTATCGGAGCTCCAGCCCAGTCGGATGAAGACCGGGTTGGAAAGCAAACTGCATATCGAGAACCCCAATCATCTTACGAGTATGATGTTGTGTAACCGGCCAGGGAACGTCAAACCATGGTGTTCGTAGATAAAGTTTGATGCAAGGAGTCCCCTTCGATCAGATAAGGATAAATTACCGACAGAAACCTATTATATACATCCAGACTGATGGGGCCTCGTGTTGGCACCGGGATGACTGCGATGTTTGCACATTGTGAGTAGTGACCTCATACAATACAAGTAGCGTAGCAGCTAAAAAAGTGGAGATCTTGTGCAAATAAGCCTAAAATGGGTAATAAGCCCGCACGAGGGCTCAGGGCCCGGGAACCCAGTATGGGGTCTCCACCGCCATCAAGCATTGAATCGGAATTACTATTGCTACCAACTTGGCAGCCTTGGCAAGGAAGTGACCCTCATATATATTCCTGCGAGCTTCCCCTCACCCTGCAGGGTCCAAACGCACTCCTCCACTTGACTTTTTTGACCTCAACATGGCTGCAACGGAGGAGCCGATTCCCCTCCGCAACACGAACCAGGCGAATTCTCTCGACTCCAGCGAAGAACCGACGCAGGTCTTCCACGAGGCTGAGCGCTGGAACTATCCTCGCTCTAATGTATTTAAGACCCTCGCCACCTTCTGGAGTTTTCTGGTTATGGGTATGAATGATGCAGCCTACGGGGTGAGTGATCGATCGCCTTACCCTCTTATCTGGAACTTGACCGAGACTGACCATAGTAGCCTCTGATTCCCTATGTAAGCGTTCGACCGTCTTAGAGCCGTGTGATCGCCACTGAACAGTTGCCGCAGCTGGAAAGCTACTACCGTCTCTCCTACACTGTGGTGTCCCTCGTCTTCTTCTCACCGCTAGTCGGCTACACCGCGGCTGCCTTTCTGAACAGCCGAATTCACAACAAACTAGGCCGTCGAGGAGTGGCCGTGTTGACGCCCAGTTGCCATGTGATCGCGTATATCATCAATTGTTGTCACCCCCCCTACCCGGTCCTGGTCATCTCGTTCATCTTTGCAGGCTTCGGAAATGGACTTGGGGATGCCTCGTGGAATGCTTGGATAGGTAACATGGCCGACTCTAATCAGATTCTGGGGCTTCTGCACGGGCTCTACGGTGTTGGAGGTGTGATCAGTCCCCTAATCGCAACGTCGTTGATCACAAAGGCCCATGTGCCGTGGTACTATTACTACTATATCCTGGTAAGACTGGTGTTCCGCCAAAAACGTCATCCGGCCCTTGTATCGTTCTGAGCTTTGGCTTACATGTTTCTCCTGTCCACTGTCCGCAGATTGCCTGTGCGGCCACTGAACTGGCCGTCTGTGCCTCAGCCTTCTGGGACGCATCGGCAGAACGAGACAAAGCGAGAGAGCCACAGTCAGATGATGAAAACAAGGCGGGGCTTCGTGAAGTGCTGTTCAAGAAGTCTTATGCGCGGGTTACCTGGATCTGTGCCATCTTCCTGCTGGGATATGTCGGCATCGAAGTCGCCCTGGGCGGCTGGATAGTGACATTCATGATCCAGGTCCGACATGGCCAGTCCTTCGCAAGTGGGATGACAGCTACCGGGTTCTGGCTTGGGATCACCGTGGGGCGCATGGCGCTAGGATTTATCACCCCGCGCATTGGCGAGAAGTTGGCAATCATAGTATGTTTCCCTTGCCCATTGCACTGCACAGTCCGGTCTTTCTTCGCCTTGCCAGGATCCATAGATCCAATGCGTCAACTCTCAATCCCTCCTATAATGTGACCCATGCACGATTACTTCTGACATCGTCACTCCGCAGATATATTCCTGCTGTGCTATCGCCGCAGGTCTTGTCCTCTGGTTGGTCCCGAACTTCTACTCATCCGCAGTGGCTGTTTCTCTGCAAGGATTCTTCCTGGGACCGTTCTTCCCGGCTGCGGTGGTGGTGGCTACCAAGCTCCTCCCTCGCCATCTTCACGTCAGTGCCATTGGATTCGCGGCTGCGTTTGGCGGCGGAGGCGCTGCTATCCTGCCGTTCGCTGTGGGTGCTATTGCGCAGGCACGCGGAGTCAAAGTGTTGCAGCCCTTCATCATCGGGCTTTCTGGAGGAATCTTGCTGTTGTGGCTGGGATTGCCCAGGATGCCAAAGAAGAATCAGGCTTGAGGAGAATGAAGCTACGACTGAAGATATAGACTGCATATAATGGTTGGGCCCAAGTAGATAGAAAGGGGTGGATGTTGGCCTGGTGGTATGGATGAGGAGGCAGGCCAATCTAATGGAGCAGAGTCATTTGGTGTGTATATATGTGTTCAAAGTAGCAACGCTCTACGGAATACAGGAAAAAGTTCTTTGATCTATCAAGCTTGTATGGCAGGGTTCTTATACAGTGCTTGTTTTCGGTGTTCTAGCTAATTGTGTATGGTACAAGCCGTCAGATTTGTTCTTCGATATTCAAGAGTAGTAGTAACGCCAAAGTAGTCTCTAATTTCCCTATGCAATATTCACTTTTGGTGGTCATTTACCTGATGTTGGCTTGGGAGAGTGAAGTGATCATGTTACTATGGGTGACGATACTTGGTTCCCCCCACGACAACATGAGTTTGATATTCACTGGATACTCCCTCACTCTCCGTAGCAACCCACCCTCACGTTCTCCATAAATATCTCCTTCTATCACTCTACCTTATTTACCCTTCTCTCTCCCACATCTCTCTCCTTCTTCACCTCTCTTCTCACCATCTTTCCTCCACATCTCTCTCCATCAAACCATAGATCTCTTTCGCAAACTTGCAATCATTTAATACCTTCTACATCCTTCGAAGAGCTTGAAAAACACGACTCCTTCTCCTGTGAAAGACGCTTGAAAGTCTCAGACATATGTCTGGAGGCCTGAAGAGGCTTTGGTGACATTGACACCGCGAAAAGCTTCGACGGCCCGACGCGTGTTGTGACAGCTTCACAGAAGAACAGAATTCTTCAAGTATTCTCAAGAATCTCAACCACTCTCTCATCATCCTACTTCTTCCTACTTGTAAGCTATCCATCTTTACCACTCAAGACGCGAGCAGCATCCACTGACCATACCACAGACGTGTAAAGCCTTTCATCTCATCACTTCATAGAACATCCCACGCGAGAACCTCTGAGCGTCAGGTTCGACCTCATTCGACAAGATGTCAAACGCGGCAGAACAGATCTTCTTCTACGGACAGGTCACCGATCCGGCGCACGCCTCAAGCTTCGACGTGCTGACGTACCTCGATCTGACCAACGGGGGCACCATACTCTTCCAAGCCATAATCCTTATCACAATCATCATCTGTTTCCTGCCGGACCTGGCGCCCTTGACCCTGACCGGGGTTCAAAGGTTCATCATCTCGCCTATCCGCTCCTTGCTACACGATATCCACTGGGCCGTCCAGCAGCTGTCCAATGGCGAGTCTCGCAAGAGCTTCTATCGTTTATGTTACGCCAACGCCCAAGACACAATCCTCAATTCTAACCTGGTCCAACTTACCTTCATCGGAATCCTTTGGTTCTTTCCAACCAACCGGCCTTTGAGTACTGCATGCCGCCTCTGGGCCCTAGCGGCCGGGTCCAAGTGGATGTACATCTCTGCTCTGATACCAGGCCACCATTATTTGAACGGCATAACCGCGGGCTTCAGTCCCATGGGACGGGACCGCTACGAAGACTGCCTTGCCGACATGGCGCGCAGTGGGTTACCGGCTCGTTGGACCAAGGAGCAATGGCTGGCGAGCTACCGCTGCTCCGGCGTGGAGACGGGGCTGGAACTGTACGAAACGGTCAAGGACCGCGCGCAGTGGCTGGTGCCACCTGTGGACAGCGAGGTCCGCCATCTCCGCGTTCTTGCCTTCATGGCCGTCTTGATCCCGACCCTTGTTATAGGGCTGTGGCTCTTTTATGCTCTCTGCAACAAAGTTGCCGCTCTACGCCGGGGGATGGCGCTGGCGGTGAACGGCGAGCCCCGGCCCACTGAATGCGAGGCGTATCTGTGGAACTTGTCCAAGTCTCTTGAGACTGCGAATGAGAAATTGCAGCAGTGCATGGCGACGAGGGAGGCAGAGTTCCAGGCGGAGAAGCAGCGGCTGGAAGAGACCGTCCGTCACCAGACCGACCTCACTTCCCGCAGGATTCAGAGCGCGCTCCGCCAGGCGAAAGACGCACACGCGGGCATCATCGACGAGTTGAAGAGGAAGGTCGTCCAGCTGGAAAATAATCTCACCATGGCCAGAGCCGAGGCCCAGTTCGTCGTCGTGGATGAAGTGGACGCGGCACGGGAGCAGTTCCTGAAAGACCGTATCGTGCAGCTGGAGAAGCAGCTGGCTGGCGCGAAGAAGAAGAGCAATGCTAGGAGTAAAAAGGAGCTACAGACGGTCAAGGATGAGCTTCAGACTCGCACTGATGAGTTGACGACCCTCACTGACAAGCTCTCTGAGGCTGAGACTCGCGTGTCCGCGGCGGAGGAGCGTGGTCGACGTGTGGAGATTGAATGCGAGAAGCTGTTGACCCAGGGGCTTTCGTCGTTGAAGAGTGAGCTTCAGACCCGTACCGATGAGCTTGCAGCTGCGGAAGAGCGGCTGGCTACCGCGGAGAAGAGTAGTCAGCGGGGCGAACTGGAACATGATCAGTTGAAGAATGAACTTCAGACCCGCACTGATGAGCTTGCAGCTGCGAAAGAGCGACTGGCCGCAGCCAAAGAGCACAGTCCACAGGATGAAGCCGAGCGCGAACAGACCCATATTCCAATTCAGGAATTCCAGTCTCTGAAGAGTGAACTTCAGACCCGCACCGATGAGCTTGCCGATGCAGAGAAGCGTCTGGCCGCTGCTCGAAGCAAGCACAATCGACAGGCGAAACCCGAGCGTGAACAGAACCTTGCCCAAAGCCAAGAGATCCAGTCAATGAAGATTGAGCTTCAGATTCGGACTGATAAGCTCGCAGCCGCAGAAAAACGACTGACCGCTGCTCGAAAGCATAGTCAGCAGAACGAAGCCGAGCGCGATGACCAAAACCAGAAGCTTCAGTCGCTGAAGGATGAGCTTCAGAGCCGAACCGATGAACTTAACATCTGGACTGAAAGGTGTCTTTCCGTTGAGTCACGTCTGCTTGCCGCAGAGGAACACGGCCAGCAGGAGGGACATGGCCAACGGGCCGCTATCGAAGGCCAGCAGCATCTCAGCCAGGAGCAGGAGCAGGAACTGCAGTCACTCAAGGATGCACTTCAGACACGCACCAATGAACTCCAGGCCTGTACTGACAAGATTGTCGACGTTGAGAAGCGCCTGGTCACTGCAGAGGAGCACGGTCGTGAGAGTGAAACCCAGCTTCAGGAGTTTATTATGAAGAACCAGGAGCTTCTGGCTCAGAACCAGAATATCATTGCAGAGTACGAGGCATTCCGGGCCACACATCAAGCAAACCTGCAGCATAGCCAGTCCCTGGAAGCGATGCAGCAAGAGCTGGCCGCCGCCCATGCCAGAAACCACGCGCTTCAACAAGAGAATAACTCCGTTGAAATCGAAGCACAACTGATGGTGGCTAAGTTAGAGTTCGACCTAGACGAAGCCCAGAGACAACTGGCGGAAGCGCAATTCAGCGGAGCCAGCGCGCAGCAGAGCATGCAGGAAGGCGAAGTGGCCTGCAACTTGTCTGTGGCGGAAGCGCGCGCTCAAGCTGAGCAGGCGCGAAACCAAGCGTTCATGATGCAGAAGAATCTCGACGAGGTCACCGAGGAGAACCGCGCCCTCCAGATTCAGATCGGACTGGCGATGAGGGACGCCCAGCGTGGCCAGGAACGGGCCGACACCGCGGAGCGAGTCAACAAGGTCCCCGAGGTCCGTCTGGCCCAATGGGAGGAGAAAGCTCGCGACGAACAGATGATTCTCAAGCGACCGACCGCGAACGTGGGGTCTGTCATGACGGCCCTCCAGCAGTGCCAGGTCAAGGTTTCCGAGCAGCAGACGAGGATCAACGAGTTGACGGAGAAGCTCGAGAAGGCGAAGGTGGCCAGCCCCGCGGGCAAGGTCGAGGAGAAGCTCCGTGCCGACTTCTCGATGATCAAATCGATGTACGAACGGGAGAAGCGGGCACGCACGGAGGATCAGATCCGCTGGTCCAAGGAGAACCGCGAGTTGGATGAGGAACTCCGCAAGCTGCGCATTAGCATCTCGAATGCGAAGACCCAGCGTCCCAGACGCAGCCGGGTAGCAGCCGGACTGGCCTCCGACGCATGTGACATTGATTGAGTCGGGTAACTATGGGTAGGGTTGTGTTTGTGGTGGCGATAGTTGAATGAAGGGCGGGGCGCAAGTTTGGCGGACAAAATTGTTGGACATGTATCTGGCTGGCTGGCTTGCTTGCTTGGTTGGCTTATGGCAATAAAGATGACGTTTGGTTCTAGTATCAGGCCAGCCTTCTTGGTGGCTCAGTCAAGCATCACATTCTTCTCGTCGATTGGCATTGTTGAGTTTAGGGGTAGGCGGCTCACCCTGTCATGCTTGATGCTTTTCTCTTACCCCCAAGCCCTCTGCTTACCATATTGTAACAGTATGTTCATGTACTCAGTATCTAGGAAGCATCGAGGAAGATAACAAATCAAACAATTAAATTGTGAGTGAACACGATTATTCTGAAACCGCCAAGCAGAGAGATGATGAACCAGTTGCAACGTGCAAGGGGGACCGTGCTGATCTCAGCACTTTGATGCTTTGATGCACTTCAGTGGATGTGGATCAGGGGGTTCGGCGTTCGGGAGATAACGGTGTGCCCGTTCAATCTTCCTGCAAGAGTCGCGCAATAAGGGGCTTCCATTAGCCCCATCCACCCCATCAGCAACTGGGCTGACCCAAGGGACCAAAGCTCAATAGATTGAAATCATTGAATAGTGCATGGCAAGCGCCCTCCCCATGTTTCATCTTTTCATCTTTTTTGCCGGCCCCCCCATTCCTCACGGCCAATTCTCCACATTCTTTCCAGTTTCTACATAGTACGTACTCATGCGATTCCTGCTCCCCGACCCCCGAGTGTCTCTCGCTTGGGTGGTGAAGGTGGATATTGCGCTTGGGCAGAGCTAGTTAATCCTCTGTTCCTCTGTTTCCTGCTGTCTGCTATCGGATTTTTCCCACACACTCTCTGGCCGCTTGTATGTGGTGAGAAACCACCTCAATTGCACGCGCCCAACACTGTTTCCCCTATCTTGGCAACGTTACCGCTACGCTGACAGCTGCTGCTGCTGCCGCCGCCGCACGTTGTCGTTTCAGCGCTATCCTCATATCACCGACGGGCTTTCGATGGCTCAGGCACGATTCGTCCATGTCGATTAACACATCCACCCATTGTCCAGCGGCTATGCGCTGTTGACGCGACTTGCCGCCATCTTCGTCCCCCTCCCCCATCTCCGTCGCTCTTTTTGAACTTCGTCGGCGCATACAAAACCATTGTCGAGAGACCGACCGACCCTGACTAGAAAAAACCTCTCCAATCATTCTTACGTCGCCTACGCCTGCGACGTGTGACTGACTTTTCCCGGCTGGTCCGACGAAAGTCCCAAATTCACACGACACATTCTCTCTTTTTTTTTATCAGCAGATTATCTCTACTTCCCACACGTCGTGGCTCATCGTGTATAATGTTCTGTTCGGGCGATCGCGAGAAAGGGCCCGTGGCCTTGGAGGAACAATGGGATTATATCAACCTGAGTGATTTCAAGTCCGAATCCTGCTGGTCGGGATTCTCGTACTTTCTGATCTATGTGTTTCTGTTGGTCTCGGTGGCGGTCTACGGTGTGGACACCTTTACGGCCGTCAATCTGTTGGCCTTCTCGCGGTGGGCGGGCTCAATTGAGCCTGCGATCCCCTTCAAGGTCTCGCGCTGGATCTTCGCCGTCTGCATTATCGTCTCGTTCGCTCTGCTGATCTACCGCTGGTTGCGCGCCATTCGCGCGATGCGCTCGGGCAGCATCGCCCACAGCTATCTGGATTCGCTCGCGGTGCGCATCCAGAGTATCCGCATGGGTCAGAATGGTCGTGGGTGGAGGCGCTTCTTGGTCTTCGCGGAGTTGACCAAGAGTCGAAAGGGTGCGGAGTACGTCGCGCTCTTTGCTTATTTTTCTTTTGAATGTGAGTTCATGTGTCTTTTTGTTGGGTCGAGGATTGATGGGCTGACTTTGCTGTAGCGTGGATGAGTACAATCTTCGCCGATGGCCCGCGACAGGTTGTCAACGCTATCACTCTCTACTCAGTCATGCAGATGGATTTGCTCCCGGGAGGCAGTAATACGGATAGTACGGATGGGTCTACTGCTTCTCAGCTGTTTCACAACATCAAGGTCCTGGCGGAAGACAATACGCGGCAGGCTATTGTCCTGGTCGGCATGATCTTCACTCTTGTCATTTGGGTCTTGTCAATGCTCAAGCTGCTACTGGCCGTTGTGCTCTACTTGCTGTTCCTCTGGCACCACATTCCCACGGAAGATGGATCGTTGAAGAGGTACTGCAAGCGCAAGATCAATTCACGGTTGACGCAGATTGTTCGGAAGAAGGTCAACAAGGCACTGGCCAAAGGCGTGGCTCTCCAGGATCGGAAGCCCACCCAGCCCAACATAGGTATCGACAGGAAGCCGACTTTGCCGACAGTTGGCATGCACGATGATGATAAGACGCCGATAGTCACGACTATTTCGCGGAGCACCACGCAAACGACGTTGCCAGCATACTCATCTCGCCCCGGCACAGCTGCCCCAGACCGCAAACCAACTCTTCCCGACTTGTCCACGTTCGATGATAAGCCCCCAGCACTTAGCCGCACGGTGACTCAGTCTTCCTTTTCAGATGCTGCTTCTATGTCCGGTAGTACTGCCGTGTCTACATACAGCCCTCTTGATCGACATGGAACTCCGGCGCCTCCAGTACCGCCTCTTCCTCAGCAAGGGCCTGCCCCGATGCCGCTGTCCCAGACTCCGAGGCCACGCCAGAACTTCAACCAGGCGCCTCCGGCTCAGGGGTATGGAGAGCCAATTGGTCCGCGTAGCCAGACCCCTATGTCGCGGTCAACCCGTACGCCTGCTCCTCAGCAACAGGCCCCAGCAATGCCTCGGTCCCACACTCCCATGTCGCGTCAGGACTTCACTCCCCCGCCTCCTGCTCCAGGGTATAGGGGAATGGATCGAGCGTCACCTGCACCACCTATGCCACGCATTCAGACACCTATGTCTCGATCCCATTACACGCCGGCACCGCCGTCTGCCATGCCTGACCATAGCCATATGCCGTATGCGACCCACCAGCAGGATCCTGGCGAAGGGTACAACCCGTTCGCAAACCAGGAGGCCTACTACTCACAGTCAAGTACTCCTTTCCGTTCCTGCAGCCCAGCAACTGGACCGAACGCACGAGCATTGACACCCGGTGCAATTCGTTCCCCTGTCGAGGACATGCCAAATCAGCCGTTCTCTTGCGCAAATCAGCTGAGTGACACTCCTTATCCTGTGGGGGATCATGAATACCCTGGACGGTCATTCACACCAGCTGGTCCTGGCAATACGAGGTCTCCTCCGCCTATTAACCCGGCTGAAACCTGGGAGACAAGAACGACGACTCCGATCGGTGCAGGGACTGCGAACACTTATACTGCGTTCAGCCCAGCCGACAGGAGCTCTCCAATGCCACTCGCTGGCAATATTGCTTCCGGACATAATGGAGACAACGGCGGTTATGGCCAGCATGAAGACGACCTGGCACTGGGTGCCATTGACCCGGTTGACACACATCAGACGATACATGATCAAAATACTGGCTATGTCGCGTTCAATCCCTCTGCCAACATCAATTCGCCTTTGGACGACCATCACAGCCATGACGAGCACTTCGACCACCGCGATGAGCACCACGACGAGGACCACGACGAGCCCCATGCTATTGACCACTTAGACAGAGCCTCCCCTGCTGGCTCGCATGAGGCCGCGCATAACGCCGCCGATTACATTGCCTTCAACCCATCGGCCACAGAGTCGCATCAAGATTCTGACAATAGACACCTGTCAGAACACGAACCGTACGGCCACGAACACCAGCACGATCAAGGCCACGAACACATCTATAACTACTACGCCGGACAACCGCCCGCTACAGCTATGGGAGCCATGTCCCCGATCCGCTCCACGAGCCATGAAGGCTACACGGCATTCAATCCATTCGAGGAATCGCATGCCGCCGTATCCGATCCCAAGCACGAGCGCCAACACCACGATTCCCACCTCGGACCTCCACAGCCGGAGAACGACATGCCGAAGACTGTGCCCCCGGAGCACGGCTATGTAGCCTTTTCTCCAGTCACCCACGCCGTGTCTTCCACTGAGGCGTATTCTCCGGCGACGGCGCATTCGACAGCCCAGATGTTCGCTCCCACCACCACACATGCCATGTCCTCTCCAGCAGAAGCCTATGCTCCGACCACACAACCCCCTCCCGCCGTGCACGCTTATTCCCCCGCCCCATACCCTTCAGCATCCCAACCCATCGAACGGGCCTACTCCCCTTCGGTACAGCCATACCGTCCCAACCAACAACATCCCTTCTAGTCATCTTCGTCCATAACACCTCCGCATTCCACATCTCTCATCTGAGAAACACCGAACACCCTACTCCTTCAATCTTCCACCCCGGTCACTCTCTTCTCTCTTCTCCGAACTGCACAGTCCAACTACATAATCGCCTGCCTTAAGCCTTCTTCAAGATCCAATCTACGAACCACACGGTAGACGAGTCTCCGAGCGAGTCTACCCCGTGAATTTACGTGTTTGATGATAGTTATACCTTTACTACCCTTGAGTGCCTTACCCGAATCAAAACACCTCACTTGAGCTCGGGACGCAGCGAAGCTCTATAGAGTTTACCTTCTTGAATATGCAACTTCCAATACAGTAAATACCTCTATTTTCTCTTTCTCCCCTTGAAAAGAACTTATAGAAAGAAAAATGAAGACCATAGAACGCATAGACGCAAGTAGGATCCATTATGAAGCATATGATAACTCAAGAGGCTTACTCTTCCCCTCTACGACTCAACATAAACCATCCCTAACCCTAAGCAGCAAGGAGCAAATACTCCCTAACCTACCGCAACTCTTGAACCTACCTACCACATCACCCATTAACCCCCCCAACCAAGTCCCCTCGCGACAAGCTCCTCCCCAAAACGAGGTCCCAAACCTACTACCGCCAACTATCCACAACCGTAGCTGTGGCCCCCGCGCACGCCGTCGCCGTCACCGTATACACGCGATTAGGATCGCTCTCCCACGTGATCGTGCTCCCGTCGCTGCCCACCTTGAAGAACTTGTACTCGAAGCTCGTGCCCACAGGCACCGACACGGTGGCGGACCACTCCGGATACGACGCGGAGTAATTCGCCGCGCTGAGGGCGATTCTCCCGCCGGTGCCGGCCGTGGTGGCCCAGTTGCCCAGCGCGGCGATGGAGCCGGTTAGGTAGACCTCCTCGCCGTAGGTGGTGGTTACGAGTTCGATGAAGGTTATGGGGAGGGAGGTTGTTGTTGCTGTGCAGGTGGTGGTTGTTGTTGTTTTTGTGGAAGTAGTAGTTGTGGTGGTGGTTTTGAGGGTGGTTGTGGTTGTGGTTGTGGCGGTGGTTGTGGAGGTGCCACCACCGCAGAGATTGCTTCTGTTGATTGAGGAGGCTGGGAGGTAGACGCGCGGAAGGCCGGAGGCCATGGGGACGGCGATGCTGCCGCTGGAGGAGACGGTGAGGGTCGTGCAGGTGTAGGCTTCGATGAGCGTGGTGCCGGCGGCGTAGCCGGTGCCCGTTAGGGTCAGGGTGTAGCTGCTGCTGGTGCTGCCGCGGTTGGAGAGGATGGTGATTACTTGCAGGTTATCGCTGCCTTTGCGCATGGCGATCGTGTTGCTGTCTGTGTAGAAGGGGTTGTTCTAGGAAGAAAGTTAGTAGCCTGTAGTTTTGAGGACGGGAGTGCTGTCCGGTACGTACCTTGTAGGTGATGTAGTTGCTGTCTAGCGAGATGGCCAGCTTGCGGATGGCGTTGGTCGTCGAGATCCACTGGTATAGCTCCGCCGTCGTCGAGTAGCCCGATAGCCAGGTCGCTTCGCGGTTGTAGGGTACCCCGGAGCCCGAGTAGTGCTGCTCTTCGCCGGCGTAGACGATGGGAATGCCGTCAGAGAGGAATAGGAATGAGAGCACGTTCTTGGCTTGCGAGTAGTCGCTTGTATAGCTGATTTCTCGGTTAGTAAGTAGCACCCAGAAAGGTTCAGCGCTGTCACTCACTAGGCAAAGCGGGCGTTATCGTGGTTCTCGATGAAGTTGCCAAGGAGCGTGGGATCGGAGCAGTCGCTGGCTACCGAGTTGATCATGTTGTACAGGTCGCTGATGCTGCCGCTGCTGGACTCGAAGGCGTAGAGTAGTTGGAAGTAGCTGGTTTCCGTGTTTAGTGCCTGCCTTCTTGTGGATTGCACTGCGCAGAGTAGAACTCACATCGGGTAGTTCAAGACGCCGTCTAGATATCCCTGATACGGACAGGCAGTGGCAGGGTCGCCGTTGAAGATCTCGCCAACGCTATACACGCCTGCCGCGCTGACGTATCCCGTGAAGAAGTCTGGTTCGACTTCGAGAGCACTGTCGATGCGAAGACCGTCAACTGCGCAGTTGAAGTCAGCAGATGGTCCTGATATAATCAGGTGACATGGAGATCGTACTCGAGTAGTTGGCGACGAGTTGCTCAATCCAATCGTACCAGATCGTCCTGACGTCCGACTGCGTCGTGTACAGATCAGGCAGAGAGACGATCGTATCGCCTTCCCAGCAGGTCCGGACCTGATCGATATTATCCCAATCGGTAATGAGGCAGTACGGATGAAAGTACGACGAGGAGTCGAAGGCATCAAAGACGCTGTAGTCTACGCTATCTCCTGAGCCAGCATAACCCTAGATTTCTGGTCAGTTGGGTGCCAGACCTTGGAGGAGACAAACCTACCATATGGTTTGGCACTACGTCAACCATGAGATACATGTCCCGTTCATGCAAGGCAGCAGACAGAGCTTTCAAGTCATCTGCGGTGCCGAAGTTGGAGTTCAACGAATAGCTGCCCGTCTCGGTCAATTATGGCGTGCAAGTCATGGACTACAGAGTGCCTTACATCTTCTGTTGCCAGTATCCATGATAGGACTCGCCATCCGCAGTATTTGCTGACAGCTGCTCGGTGACGGGCGAGATCCAGATAGCTGTGAAGCCCATGCCTTGGATATAATCCAGCTGTGTGAGCAAGTCAGATCCCTCCGTCGAAACTGTGCGTTGCGGAGTGGCTTACGTGGTTGATGATTCCCTGCCATGTTCCACCACAATAGACCTAGCGAGGTCAGAAATGGCTCGTAGTAGTAGCCGTTTGGCCCAGACATACCTGATCCCCTGTATTACATGTCGCAGTTGTCGAATTATCAGTCCTGCCGAACCGATCCGTCAGAAGAAAATAGATGGACTGAGTCCGCCATTCTGCTGCAGACAGGCCGCGAACGACAGTGCCAAAGAGAGGCAGAGATACAAGGGTCTGAAGTGCCGAAAACCTCATCTTTGCAGGTGACTGCGAGTGAAGACTCAGGGGTTGGTGGTCGGCCACGGCATTGTTGGCTTCGGCAATTCCATCTTATATGTCATTTCCCGTGCCTCAAAGCAGCTTGGACCTTATTCTCAGTTGCTAGACGGACGGATGACCGGATGACTTTCTGCAGTCTCGGTCTTTTCCTCTTCTCGCCTATGATCTGCTGTTTTCTTGCATCGTTGCCTGCCAGGAACGGTCTTATGCGGGCGAGTTGATTGGTTCAAGCTCCGATCGAGCAGGATTTCTGCAGCCGAAGCACAAGCTAGCCAATGAATCACATCCAGGAAGTGGCCTTATGTCCGATCATGCAGGTGTGAAATATCAAAAGATTGGCTGCAGAACGCCCGCTATTGTCCAGATGGAGATTGCCTTGTCTGCAGAAGAGGGATGGCCGGGGGTGTTGAGCGAATTAGGGGGGCAAGGGATGCGGAGGAAGCGAAATGAAATGAAAGGTTGCAGAGAGAAAGAAGGAAGAAGCGGTCCAAGCCTCGGCACTTTGGAAGAAGCCCAATTTCATTAAACACACTCAAACCACCCCGCATTCAACTGCGAACAGCTGTGGGGTGACATCAAGCTCTCGCGTCTTTTGGCTCTGAGGCATTTTCTGTCTTGACTGCCAGTCTATGTTGGCCTTGGTCACGGATGGTGCCTTCTGCTTTCACCTAGTTACCTCTTAACAGTCTAACAGATTCTTGATTCATTCTAATCCAGTGCAAACCAGGCTTAGCACTTTTTCTACATATATCCAAGGCCTTCCAATGCCTGCGTTCATGTGAGGGTATCGTTTTTACAATTGATGCTTTCGGACTGTCCAGCCCACCAACGACCCGAGCAGCGAAAGAGACAGAGCAAACACTAGAAGAGACACACGGTAAGTATGTAAGACAAAGATTGGTCCGCCATTGCAACTTACAGTATGTGTATTTGAGTCCCGTAACGTACCCGCGGACCACGATATCGTGAACATGTCCACTGAGCCCATTGATGTAATCTGTATCAGATAGAGCCCGTTCGATCATCTGCAGGCAACGAATCAGCATAAATGAAAATTACGCAGCACAGGATGCGCATTGGCCCAATTACCTTCTTTGCTCCGGGCCCTGTTAGATTCTGCTCCAGCTGGTGCTTGAAGACGGTCCCCAGCACACTGTTCGTGACAGTCACACCAGCAGTCATCGCGAAGTTGAACAGCAGAAAGTAGCCTCCAGTGGCCATGGCAATCTCCTGAGGCACAAGGAAGGTAGTCATACTAACAAAGGCCGCAGCCGACGCGAAGCCAGTTCCCATCCCGCCCGGAATGATATACAATGATTCCCAGAAGCCCGTGCGACCATTCCACCGGAGGAAAAGCAGGAGGTAAGTGACCGATGCAACTAGCCCAGCCACGATCAAGAAGACCTTGAACTGGCCTGTTCGTCGGATGGAGGCACCGGCGATCAAGCCACCCAGCGTATTACCAATCACTGCAGGAACAAGATGCCCGCCCGCGACTGTGGCCGAGGCGCGAGATGTGACCTGGAAGTATAAGGGAACTGAGAACATCATGCCAACCTGCGCGGTGATTTGCAGAGCTCCGATAAGATAACTGGGAAGCACGTTGGTGCGGCGCAAGATGCGCAGATCGAAGATGGGCTCTGGAGCCACATGAAGCTCGACAATAATGAACGAAACGAATGCAGCCACGCTAGTGGTGCCAAGATAAGCAGTAGTAAGAGAGACCCAAGCAAAGGCCTTTCCAGCTTGATCGAGAATGAGGGTCGTGGTGATGATACCAACGGCGAGGAGAGATGTCCCAAGGAAGTCGACCCTGCGAATATCCTTGTTTGTGGTGGGGGTGGTAAGCTTGAGCTTCCATACGACGAGCAAGGCAGCCAACACAGTGAGAGGGCCCTGAAGAAGGAATGACCTGTCAAATAATTAGATTGCGGAACGGAATCAAGTGATAGACTGCAATGCTCACC